AAAGAAAGAAAGAAAGAAAAAAGAAAATAAGCCGCAAGAAGGGCAGCAGGACCCAGGCGAGGGACCCAGGACACTGGGCGGGGTTGAAAGGTGGGCGGGTTTCTGGGAGGGAGCGAGAAGTCAGGGGCTAGAGGTCGCGAGTGCTCAGCTGTCAGTCAAACAGCGCCGGGGGAAGGGGTAGGGGAAGGAAGGAACCGCTACGCCTCCGGGAATGCGCACATCCGGGTCCTGGCTATCGCGCATGCGCATCCGCCCTGAACATGGCTGCTGCCGGTTCCCCGCGGTGAGTCTCGCCGCGCTCCCCGCCATCTTTCGGTGCTTCTGTTTCCCACTGGAGGATGGAGTTTGGGGGTGGGGTTCCTCCGGGTACTAGTGGGGTGGTGAGCGGCACTTCTGCGGAGGTTTCACGCAGCTATCGGGCCCCCTGGGTAGGGGTCGGGGCCGGTGCGCCGCTATCTTTGCAGGTGTGGATGCCACTGGCGGGTGTGGCGACTCCCTGGCGAGTAGGTTCGCCACCGGCGAGTGCGAACGCTCCCGCCTGGCCTGGGTGCCCCATTCCTTGAGGTTGCCTCTGGGCCTGCGTGGAGGCACCATGGCGGTGGGTCTCTCGGAGTTGGTGCCGGCGCCCCTGCCCTTTCGTTTGCGTCGCCCGTGAATTCTGCTCTCTTGGGGCTGTGTCGTTAGACCCTGCCGAGTGCCAGGGCCTGGCCGCAGCGGCGTCCTAGGTGGGCCTCTTCTGCTGCTGGGTGTAATTAGTCTCCGGCGGAACTGGCGGCCTTGAGCCCTAGGGTTGTGCCATTTCCCGCTGAGTCCTGATGGTGTGAGTTCGCCTGTGTTCTTTTCCATCTGATAGTTGCAAAATCACAGTTTACTATAGTTTCCTGTGAGGCGGCACGTTTCTTCCCGATCTGCTTGTTAGCTATTTCACTGTCTTCCTTGGTTTAGTGGTTTATTTTCTTTGCCTGCTCCCGATATTTTATTACTTTCTAATAAAATAAAAGTTTTCATATATGTAGAAAAGCTGAAAGGCTTGTGTAGTGACGACCCGTTAACGTCTCTTGTATTTGCTGTATCCCATATTTTTCTTTTGTCCATCGTTTTAGCCATCCATTAATCCAGCTTTGTTTGGATACATTTCAGAGTAAATTGGTGACTTCCTCTTCAAACTTCTCACTATGCTCAACATGGATTAGACTTAAATATGCTTTTTAAAAAATTTCTGAGCCATAGTTGGCTTTCAGTGATGTGCACAGATCTGCACCATTGGATGAGTTTTGACACATGTAACCCAAACCTTTATCAAAATTACCATCACTCTGGAAACATCCATTATTCTTTGCCAATTTAAAAAACTTAGTTGTTTTAGTGACATAGGCCTATAAAACCATGTTTTGAATACTGAGCTTTTGTCTGTTTTCCTTTTCTTCTCAGCAGGTGACTTGCCTTCATTCTAATGCTGTTTCCTTCAGTCTCCACCCAACTTGTTTTTTTTTTTTTTTTTTTTTTTGAGACAGTCTTGAGCTGTCGCCCTGGGTAGAGTGTCATGGTGTCATAGCTCACAGCAACCTTCAACTCTTGGGCTTAAGCAATTCTCTTGCCTCAGCCTCCCAGGTACCGTGTTTCCCTGAAAATAAGACCTACCCAAAAAATAAGCCCTAGTAGGATTTCTATGCCTTTGTTAACTATAAGCCCTACCCCAATAATAAGACCTAGTGATGGGCGGTAGCTATGCAGTGTTTCTACATAGCCACGCCATGCATTTTGGCGCAGAGCGGTAAGGAAGACTGGAATACCTTTTTTCTGCCATAGCTCCCTTCTTAGAGCTTTTTGCACTTGAGTGGGAGCTCGTGTGATAACTGCAGTCTCAGGCATCCTATTGCGCACATGCAAACGGCTAGGGGAAAGGAGTTTATGCTTCACTAGCGCCAGCCCCACCAACAAGGTGGGCTTTCCCTGTCAGGTTCCAGAAGAAGATGACTTAACTGTATTTGAATAAATGTAGATTGTTGCATTATACTTAATAAAAATAAGACATCCCCTGAAAATAAGCCCTAGTGTGCCTTCTTGAGAAAAAATAAATGTAAGACAGTGTCTTATTTTGGGGGAAACACAGTAGCTGGGACTACAGGCGCCTGCCACAACCCCTGGCTATATCTCTTACGTAAGTATGTCACACATAAAAGTTATTGGAATAACTTCAAGATAAAATAAGTTATTAGCATTCTTCCACCTTAGCTTTACCTTTTTCTTCTGTCTCAAACACATGCATATATGATCTCTTTTTACATTGTACACACAAATATGCAGGGTGTATGTACAAGCAGGTCTGATTCACACATGAATTTATGTATACTTAATTTTTCGGATGAATTACTGAAGTATTGTAGACACCGTGACTCTTCACCCTGGATCTCCTAAGAACGAGAACATCCTTAAACAAAATTGAGGTGTTACAATCACAACTAAGTACTTTCTTTCTTTCTTTTATATATATATTTTTGAGATAGTCTCACTGTGTCATCCTTGGTAGAGTGCTGTAACATGACAGCACACAGCAGCCTCAAACTCCTGGGCTTAAGTGATTCTCTTGCCCAGCCTCCCAAGTAGCTGGGACTACAGACGCCTGCCAGAATGCCTGTCTTTTTTTTGGTTGGAGTAGTCATTGTTTGGTAGGCCCGGGCTAAGTTTGAACCTGACAGCTCCGGTGTATGTGGCTGGTGCCCTAGCTGCTGAGTGACAGGAGCTGAGCCACCCAAGTACGTTATTATTAATACAGAACTCTATATGTGTCTGGATTGGTTTCTTTGTATTTGTTTTATTCCAGGATCCACTGCAAAATCCTGTTCCTCTCCTCTCCCCCACTCCCCCTCTCCCCTTCTCCCCTCCCTTTCCCTCCTCTCCCCTTGCCTCTCTTCTCCTTTCCTCTTTTCCCCTCCCCTCCCCTTTCCTCCTCTCCCCACTCTTGCTCTGTTGCCCAGGCTAGGGTACAGTGGCATCCCAGTAGCTCACTGCAACCTCAAATTCCTGGGCTCAAGTGATCTTCCTGCCTCAGCCTCCCAAGTAGCTGGGACTATAGGCATGTACCAGTATGCCCAGCTATTTTTTTTTTTTTTGTAGAGGCAGGGTCTTGCTATGTGGTCTAGGCTGGTCTTGCGCTCCTGGTCTTAGCAATCCTCCTAAATACTACAGTGCTAGGATTGCAGGCATGAACTACTGTACCCTGGCCCGTGTATTACATTTAGTTGTAATGTCGTCTTAGTCTCCTTCAGACTTAAGTGGTATGTTCTTTCTTTCTTCCATGGTGATGTTTTTTAAATGCCACATCTGGTTATTTTTTATGTTCTTTGGTATTCAGTTGATATTCTCATAAATTCAGGATCTCTATCTTGGGCAGGACATTACTTAAGTGAAATCTTGTCTTTCTTGGTACATCATTATCACAGTGGTTCTCAGCCTTCCTAGTGCTGCAACGTATTTTCATTGTTAAAAAGGTATTGTGACCCACAGATTGAGACCGCTGTCATTATCAGGAGGCATGTGAAGTTGGTGGTGGTTAGACTTTGGATCATGTGGTTAAAGTACCATCAAGCCAGGGCCCTCTACTTTTTCTCCTTTGTAATTATTAAGTAATCTTTGGAGTAGTACTTTTAATTCCTTGGGTTTTTTAAATTTTTCTTTTAATCTTATGTTCATGGAGCATTATTCATTCTGATATAATGTGATGCTTCATGTCTTTTTATGTTTTGTGCCTTTTGGTGGTTGTTTAAGAAACTGTTTTCTACCCTAACTCAATGATATTTTGTAGTTCTACATTTTATTCTAGTCATTCTAAAATTTTTTTTCTTCTTCACACCATATAGGTCTTCGTTCCATCTAGAATTTATAAGCATGTATGTATGAGAGTGTGTGTAAATTAGCATTTGTAATTTTTTTCCCATCTGAAAAGACAGTAGAAGCCATCTCTACTTTTGGTGATATGTGAGTCTGTCTTTACCACTTAACAAATTACCATTGGTCTCCAAGTATATTGGGGCTGTCTGTCCTTCCCCTACCTTCATGGGGCTGGTTGGTTACTGGAACTTTAGTAAAAGCCTTGATTTTGGCAGAGTAACTCCTAGATCCTCTTCCTTTTGTTTTAAAGGAGTTGTCTTAGATATTTCAGGGACTGTCCTCTTTTGTGTGAATTTTGTCATGTTCTAGTAAAATTCTTCCAGAGATTTACATTAGGAAGGCATTGCTTTTCCGGTTAGTTTTGTGACAGTGCGAGTTGTCATGGTTTCAGTATTGGCCCTCTCTTCTGTCTATTTGGTCTAGCTTTCTTTTTTCTTTTTCTTTTTTTTTGAGACAGAGCCTCAAGCTGTCCTCCTGGGTTGAGTGCTGTTGCATCATAGCTCACAGCAACCTCCAACTCCTGGGCTCAAGCTAGTCTCCTGCCTCAGTCGCCCAAGTAGCTGGGACCACAGGCGCCTGCCACAATGCCTGCCCATTCCTTGGTTGCAGCCATCATTCTTGTTTGGCGGCCTGGGCTGGACTCGAACCCGCCACCCCAGGTGTATGTGGCTGGCTCCGAGCCAAGCTTTCCTTTTTTCTTTTCTTTTCTTTTTTTTTTGAAAGAGCCTTAGGCTATCCCCCTGGGTAGAGTGCCCTGGCATCACACCTCACAGCAACCTCCAACTCCTGGGCTCAAGCTAGTCTCCTGCCTCAGCTTCCCAAGTAGCTGGGACCACAGGCGCCCGCCACAACGCCTGGCCATTTTTTTTTTGGTTGTAGCCATCGTTGTTTGGCGGGCCCGGGCTGGGGATTCAAACCCGCCACCTTAGGTGTATGTGGCTGGCGCCTTAGCCACTTGAGCCACAGGTGTCAAGCCTTCTTTTTTTTTTTTTAGAGACAGTCTCACTTTCTCACCTGTGGCATCACAGCTCACAGCAACTTCCAGCTCTTGGGCTTAGGTCATTCTCTGGCTTCAGCCTCCTGAGTAGCTGGGACCACAGGCGCTCACCACACTGCCTGGCTATTTTTTGTTGCAGTTTGCCTGGGGCGGGGTTTGAAGCCGCCACCCTTGGTACATGGGGCCGGCACCCTACTCACTGAGCCACAGGCACTGCCCTGGTCTAGCTTTCTACTTATGTAAGTGTCCTTTGAGATTGTCAGTAAACTTCAAAAAAGAATTTTTTTTTTTAAAGAGATGGGGCCTCACTCTTGCTCAGGCTGATCTAGACCTCCTGAGCTCAAGCAATCCACTTGCTTCAGCCTCCCAGAGTGCTAGGATTACAGGCGTGAGCC